AGCAGAAGGTGATATTTACATATCCAAGGTGATATTGACATATCCAAGTCGTTCTGTGTGCTGGCCTGGCCAGTGTATCCATCCTTGTTCCCATGGTGAGGAAAGCATTAATGGCTGAAGCCTTCCTTTCCCCTACACCTTGGTTTCACATCAGGAAAATGTCTCCCATTATTCTGATTGCCCACTTAAGTTGGACAATGTATGATTTTAGGGCCTGTTTTAACAGTGGCAAAAAGTAATCTCAAACCTTTGCTCAGACGCAAGTTCTTTATAGTTCAGTGAGCTGCTATGTAGTTATAATAGCCATTCTGCTGTGTAATATGATAAAATTGTTCATTATGATAAAATTGTTCTATTAAATTAAGAAATTCCAAAGAAATCAAAGAATAATTATAATATTTAAATTTTAAAAAGAGCAATCTGTTTTGTTTATCTTAAAACAGCCATTAAAACGTGTAATATGGTTAAAGCAGTAAGTTCAGATATTTATAATTACTGAGTTTTAACATTGGGTGTAATCTTAAAACTGCGCCTATTGTCAAAGTACCAACATATCAACTTTTTTACCAAGGAAAAGAATTCAAATGTCAAGTTCTTTTCAAGTATAGCACCTCAGTGACACATGGAATATTTGAAACTGAATCAAAAGTTTATACTATTGTTTGTGGGTAGAGATAAAATAGAATGCATATTTTAGTCATAGAAATCTATAGTCTTTAGTTTTAGGCTCTAACAGCATTAACTAGGCAACCATACTGTTTATCCTAGTCTGTCAGAGGAGTTCAGGTGGTTTCGCCAAAGACAGCTTCACCCCTGTAATTGAATCCCATGGTTCTCGGTCACTAGGACAGATATAGAAATATTTGATAAAATGACCAAGGCTGCAGATTTACTGAATTACAGTACCATGTGCACAATTTAAAAAGGAGAAGAGAGCATAGGTGTATGCACATTGCTGCAATAGAATAGCTGTGATTTTATTTTAAAGTAGATAAAGTATTGCTTTGGATTTCTGCAAAGAACAGAGTTTGTAGTTCAAAAGCAGACTTGAGAATTCAGGTTTTCCACAATCCACACAAGTCAAGTATGTGGTAAATGTTTATTTCAGCAGAGACAATTGTGTTTTCTATTAATTATTCATTAGTCTCTGAGAATATTTTTCTTACCAACATTATTTTCTGTGTAATTATTGCATTTTAGAGAAATGCAGAGCTGACTCTCATTAAGGACACAAACTCTTAATGAAAACCCAGGAAGAAAATAGTTTAATTGGCATTGGGAAGAATCATAATGAAACCTCAGTGTGTAACTACTGAAACGTGGCCAGAGTTGGAGCAGTTTAGCTCAACATCATACACTGAAGTACACATACGAGGATAAAGTTGTCACTGGCAGGAAAGGGATTGTTCTGAATTGTGTGTCACCTTCTGGTCCTAAGGATGTGGGAACCCATGTCCTCACCTGGAGACGGAGTGGTGATGTCAGACAACAAGCACAGCGTTTAGTTGCTGGATAACTACACAGCCTTTTGTGATGTGCCAGCATCGACCCAAGATCTGACTGTGCAGGGCAAGAGCCACAGCTGTGGAAAGGACTTTTGCTGTGCCTTATTGAAATCCTCTTAGGATAAAAAAAAACCCCACTGTTATCAAAATAAAGCCATTTAAACTCATGAACTGAAATGCCAGGAAGGATAGGGTGCATAGTTTTACTTTTCTTTTTGATTAATTAAACCAAGAACCCAGATGCACCTTTTAGTCCATTCTTTGCTCCTCCAACCGTTGCAGAACATGCTAAAACACACCCCTAGCGAGCGGCAGGAAGTGCTCTGAAGGCTCGCGGTGAGACTAGGAGTTTTGGCCACAAGGCAGGTGTCACCTCATGCGCCATCGTTGCATGTTCCTCTTTCATAGACCTTTGCCTCGTCACAGAGTCCCATGTCCACTCTCTCCTACCTACGAATATGGTGAGAATGTGAAAGTAGGAAACCTGTTATGCTTGTCTATTATCTTGATACACTCGTTGTAATGCATTATATATAAGGTCCTAAAACATATCTATGGAAATAGCAAACATTTTTATGAATGTGATCTGGTCCAGGTCACACATGTGCTAGGGGAAAGAGATGATAAGCATATCTATATCTATCATTATATCTATCTGTCCCTTTGTTTTGTGCTTCTCCAAGTTTGCCTTGCTATCTATAACTGAATATTGACCACGTTTAATTATGATGGCTTCATTTTGTGAACAACAAGATCTTAAAGTGACTTTTATCTATTGATCTTATGTGTGTTTTCATCAGTTTATGCCCCTCCCCCTTAATACTTCAAAACTGTTCCTGGAACATTGAATCACAAAGTAAAATGGAATCACAAGTAAAACTGAAACCCAGAACTATTTTACAAATTCTAATATTAAATCTACATCTAGTTTCCATTATCATAACAATATGGTTGGATTTTTAGTTTTTAAAAAACCAAAGATTCAATATATCAGACTAGTAGACAGAAAACTGCTTTTCCTTAAAAGACTGCACACTTTCAATCTTTTAAACCAGCTCTGAGTATCAGTGGTTTAATTCCTGCCCCGTATTTTGTTTATTTCAACAATGTTGACTGACTCTAGAGATCTTTAAATATTTCACTTATAAACTAAATTATTATAAAGTGGCCTCTGTATTTCATCTGTTGTTAATAAGTTGTAAAGAAAATGTAAGATAAATACAGTCTAATTAGATCTAACGTCCATTTTTATCTCCTCTGCCCCAATGCCCTCTTCAGTCCTTTGCTCCCAGCTCCTACTCTGTCTCCCTTACCTCTTTCTTCTCACTGGATGCCTTTAAGATTTATTTTTCCTTTGGAATACTTAAGCAACTGGGTGATGATGTGTTGTGGTGCAGTTTTTGCATTGCTTTAAAGATTTGGGGTTTGTTGAGCTTCTTGGATCTCTGGGGCTACAGTTTCACCAAGTTTGGAAAATTCTTACCCTTTATAGCATTGCTTCAATACTCCCTTCCATCTTCAACTCTCTGACTTCAGGAAGTTTGGACCACGTAAAGTTTTCCCACAGTTCAGAATACGTGTTCTCTCCCTCCCAACTGCCTTCTTCCTCTGCTTCCTTCTAGTCTTTTCCTCTGTTTCAGGCTGGTCTCTATGGTCCACTCTTCTCTCGGTTTCACTCTTCATTCTACTGCATTTTTTTTTTTACCTGCCACTCATTCTAACTAGAAGTTTTGGGAAAATACATCTGTCTCTCAGTTCATAGTTCCTTGACTTTAGCCCGATCGTCTCATGAGGGCAGGTCATAGCAGCTCTCACGTATCCACCATCCTTCTCTGGGTCAGTTTTCGTTGACTTTTCTCTTTATTTTGCATTTCATCTTTTGGTTTTGTTGCACTCCTGATATTTGACTGTGTATATGAATTGTGTTTTCCTGGGTTGTGAATAATACTCTAATCTTTAACATCCTCTTGAGTATACATTCGAGATGAGGATGTTCTTGGGAAGTTTCATCCTGGGGGTGATCTTCCTTTTAAACTTTATCAGCTTTTTCCTTGGGCTAGAAATTCCTCTATTAGGCAAGTAGAGAAATTATTGAAAATATGAGATTAATGAGAGGTGTTTTTGTGCAGTCCAATGTTTTAAGCGCTAGTCTGAGTTTTGAGAGCGCCTCTGGAATAGGAGTTTCTATGCTGACTGATACACTCAGGGTGAAAGGGTTGGTAAACTCATCCTGAGTAAGTGGCAAGACTGAGTTGAAGAATGTTGTGGGGAAAGTGTTCCCAGAGTCATAGTCGGTGCTTGGTCTTTTTCTTCTATCAACTGGACTTTGGACTTTGAACAGGAGAGGCCTTAGCGTGAGTCCCCCTGCTCTCTTGATGTTTGAAAGACAGAAGCACACAGATCTGGGATCCTTTATTGAAGATGTGAATGTCCATTGATTTCTGTGATCAGGATTACATTGGAAGATAGATAAAGATAAACATTATGGAATACTATTTAGGGACAGGGTTAAGTGCTGCAATATGTCAGCTCAAAGTCCTCCAAGGCATGCATATTGTTTATTATATTTATTTGTGAAGTTAAGGAAGTAGGTTACTTTTCTTCTGAAGTTGTTGAAGACAAATGCAATCAATTTTGAATTTCTCCTTGGCAGAGATATATAAGAAAACTATTATGGTTTTAAAAGTAAAATCCTTTTATAAATACATTTACACGTTCAATCACTTGGCTGCAAAATGGGCTTTCCAACCCAGACATTTCATTTTACCTACCTGATGTTTTATTAAACAGATATTTTAACTTTATATAATTGAAGCAGTGGTTAAAAAATGACAATGTGAGTTATGAAAGAATAAAGTATTTTAATTCCAAAACGTCTTTTTAGTCATCTGGAAATGTTATGGCAGCATTAGCTAGTCCTACTAAACATGAGGACCAGTGTAAAATCTCTTTAAGAGTGTCTGCATCTTAAATACAACACTCCTTCCACATTCATTCAAAAAGGCTTCCAAATAAAGATGCTAACCTTAACTTCTTCACACACTATTAATATGCAGTATCTCTGAGAAGGTATCTAGAAGTAATTTTTACATGAAAACATCAGCTAAGTATCTGAGTTGGACAGCTCATCTTGCAAAACAAAAAGTCCATAAGCATATCTCAGTTATTAAGGAGCAGATATATTGCACTTAACTCTGTCCCTCATAGTATTACATAATGGTTATATTTATCTATTGCCATGTGGTAGGCAATTGCTTGTTGACTATTTCACAGCTTTTAAAGGCTCTATAATGTAAAATTCACTAAAGCTGGGTGTGATGGGGAATACTATCATCTCAACACTTGTGAGGTTAAGGCAGGAAGATTGCCCTGAATTTGAAGCCAGATTTGGCTACTTAGCAAGACCTTCTGTCGGAGAAAAAAAATAAAAAGCAGATAAAACTATTGTAAACACAGAGAAAGTTGGTCAACAATGCTTTGTTTGTGTTTTAACAGGATACTTAGTGTTACTGAGAAGAGCAGCTGGGCGGACCCACATCATGAACCGGGCCTTCAGCAGGAAGAAAGGTAAGAGAACTTGGCTCAAGTCACTATTGCTAATAAAGCAGAAATAACACATTAGCTTTTCCTATTAGGACAAATCACATCTACAAGAGGTACTTACTAATACATTTTGGTCATCCCCTAATTAAATAGTAAGTTATTGTGCTTATTTCATAATGATATAAATATTTTATATGTTCTCTGGCAATTGTATGCTATGCTATGAAATTGCATAAAATAATTTATCTGAAATCGACGATAAGATTATAGATAAGCAATTGCAAGTTTCATTCTACACTATAAATTTAAGTAGATATTATAAGCTGTCAAAGAATGGTATAGAAAATATAATTATTGTATCAATTTTGGAAATTGACTTTAAGTTTTTTGGGTAATAAAAAGTGACCCAACAGTAAAAATAACCATAATTATTTAATATATGGAAAATAGATAGTCCAGAGCTAGAAACTACAGCATTAGTGTTTCATTTTATTTAGTGAAGCCAGATGAAGTGTGCTCTACCCAACTTCAGTCTCTGTTTGAGTAATCCAGGATTGAGTAATCTCCTTCTGGCCTATGAGAATGAACTTGAATTTTGATCATCTGCCCTCCATGATACAAGGGTTGTAATTATAGGCATGTGCCATTGCACCTGTTTTTGAGGTGCCAAGGAGCAAACTCAGGGCTCCGTGCATGCTAGCCAAGCACTTTATGGATGCAAATAAAGTGAGCCAAAGATGCCCTGGTACATACAACACGACAAGACCAGAAATAAAAGTGGAAGTAATTGTAACTCTTTCACAGGGAGCAGAGTTGAGAATTCCGTGTATGCTTCTGATTTAAAACCCACTAACAGGGAAATAGTTTTTCCTTTTTGTAATAGCAAAATCTAGAACCAGCCTCAGAACACACGTGTCTGCAGTAAAATACTTAGGTCACATTCATCAGCTAGTTCACAAAGACCAGATTTTTTGCTAGACATAGATCTGATTATATTTGTCTGACTCACAAAGCCCCCATCTTCAATTCAGTATTTACTTGAAAGAGATATGAATTGTTTCGCATTGACGTAGTCAATGGAACATGAGTTTGGCACGTTTGTGGACAGTGAGGGGAAACTGGAAATACAGACACTTGTGATTTCTTACAGTGCTTTATTCTTCCCCAATTTATCAATCCTCATTAAGTTTAATGATTATCCTAGTCAGGAAATTCTTGATCAGTGTTTTGTTCCGCCTCTAAGTTAGACTGTGACTGGTTTCACTTTTGTTTTCTTTAGTTTGTCAATTGACATTTTGATGAGTAAATTTAGTTGTAATAATGTTCAGCATTCAAAAACTATTAAGTTATTTTTTTCTTTATGGAAATTTTATTTTATAATCATTAACATTAATATTAAATGTAATATAGTAGAAGTAGGTACTCTATATTATGCGCAGAGAAATAGATATAGCCATGATGTATTGATCTTTCAATATTTTATATTAGAAACATGCTAGCATATAAATGTGTTTAATATAGGTATTATGTATTGTCCTAAAACAAGTGAAATTATAGGAATATATATACATATATTTCTGAATACACACACACACACACACACATATATATATATAGAAAGGTAAAAAGCCATATATATATAAACCTTTCTGCTCCTTCAGTTTTTAAAACACATATTAATGAAATCATATTGGCTTCTGCTAATGTAATTTTAAAATCACCTCAAATTAATTTTGAAAATACTTTGTTGGTTTTACCTGTGTATTTGTTGAACTTTCAGTTAATAATACAGGAAAGAAATGTTTGAAACCAAGCGTCTCTGCCTGACTATGGTAGAGCTAAGCAGGGATAGTAAAGTATCAAATACTTTCAGCAGGGGGAACGACAATAGAACACTTTAGTTATATTGTAACTTTACCTGCATGAAAATACTTTGTTGGTAACCAGTGTTCCCTTTCTGTGTGCACTTATTTATTGTTTCTACTGGCATGCACTTTCGTTCCCAGTACTTAGGAGACAAAGGCAGAAGGATCTCTTAGAGCTTGACATCAGCTTGGTCTACATATGAAATCCAGCCCATTCACGGATACATTGTGAGATCTTGTGTTAGAAACACAAAACAACAAGTCATATTTTAAAATTCTGTTTTATTTGTCGTATTGATTCTGATTTTAAGGTACCCTGAAGAATAATATATACATAAAACTTCTCTAATAGAAATAAGATATACCCATATATTTAAAAGTCTTACACCAACAAATGCAATTAAAACTATTAATGATGATAAATTTGCCTTATGTAAACCTTGGCTACTTTTTCCCCTTATACATTTACTATAGTATTTGCGAATTACATGGAATGTATAAGTAAAATACAACATTGAATGAAAATATAGATAATATAAATATAAGCAGCATGCAATACATATTAGTATGAAAATCTGACTTTGTATCTGTGTACATGTTTTTGCGTATGTATGTATGTATGTGTGGGGGCCAGATGTTGATATTGGGTCTCTGTCAGTTACTCTCTGTCTTAATTTTTGAGACACAGTTTTGTACTGAAGCTGGAGCTCGTTACCTTAATGAGATCAGCTAGACAGTGAGATCAAGGGCTCCTCGTGTCTCTGCTTACCCAGCTCTGCAATGAGAAGTGCGATGGGGCCACCATTACATCTATACTACAGATCTGAACTCAGGGCCTCATGCTTGCTCTGAAAACACTCTAACTGCCAAGCCTACTCTCCTGCCCTTCAATATATCCCTTCTGAAATACTTTATTTCTAATATTTCATTACGTTTATCTACATTTCCAATGAATATGCTTAATATTATTCATGTTCAAAACTTCTGATAGTAGACATTCAACTATTTTTTTCTAATTTAAAATAAGGATTATCTTAATGACATTCCATGAGAACATAATCACTAATGTATTTCAACTTCATTCAAGTGCACCTCCTCCCTTAATGTATTTTCCCTTTAAAATGCACAAATTCTGATGCTAAAGTTATCGTAACTCTAAAAGGACAGATTATTTTTATTATCTGGAAATGATGAAATATACCTTGGCATTCATGAAAGCATTAAATAAAAGAAGACAGGTACTTGTCTTAACTTGCATAATTGTTTTTGCTCATAGCCCCACTATGTTGTTCTTATAAAATGAGAACCAGGGGAAGAGCAAGCGTGGATAACTGAAGGACAACAAATTGGCTGTGGCCAGCTTTGGCTACATAGCAACACCCCAATCATTCATGAGTGACTTCTATAGTAAGAAAAAGATAAATGCCTGAATCATTTCCATTTACAACATTTTACTTTCTTAATTCAAGAAAGTTCAGAAGATTCGACTGCCTTCCCCAGTATAGATTTCCTTCAGGTAAGAATATATAAACCTCATTATAAAAATTGATGGTTTAATCCAATACTTCATTTTCTCTGTTACAGACAAAACATGGATGCATACACCTGAAGCTTTATCAAAACATTACATCCCCTATAATGCAAAGGTAAAATAGTTATTAGGATATTATCTGATTTTACTTTGTTATGTGTTGTTTTGAATAATTGTGCTAATTTTAGAAAAATTGCTAATGCGTCAACGTTTCCTGGTAAGTGATCTTTGAAACTAATTTGACATTGCTTAAATAAGTAATGTAACATTACTTATTAAATTCATCACTTATTAAATGACTTATTGAAATCATTTTAATCTCTAAATTAATTTAAAAAGAAATGTGTACCTTTTGCAGTTTCTCGATCTATGTATTTTAATTCATGCTTTTTCTTATTATGAGTTGGACTCTTATTTAAGTTATTTTGCAATGTCACAGACTCTGGGAAATTAAACAACTTAAAATTGACTTCCTTTAAATGCATTTTAATATTGTGGTTCATCAAAAACAAATAAAAACTCATCTAGGAAAGTGAGATGCAATTTTAACGTGTACTTGGAATCCAAGAAAATAAGCAAATGAAATGGAAAACATAAAAGCATAAAATGTGTTTTTTTTTTTTATTCTTTCCTGGATTACTGTGTTTTGATGAGGCAGCCAAAACACTAATGCATGTGCCATCGTTTTAAAGATTGCATCTGCTGTTTGAAGGGACATAAATTGTAAAAGGTCCATTAAAGAGAGACGAGTCATTGTATTTAGCAAAAGATCTGAACTTGTTTACAGAGAAATCTGATTAGAAATTTTGCAGAGGCATGAAAAATGTAATATTTGAGATTTTAAATATTGGGTTAAGACAAGCTCAAATTGCTGGACTCTGAAGACAACATGGAGGGCATAGGAAACTTCAATATTTAAAGGAGAACTTATGGTTTTTATAGGTTAACAAACTATACTCCGAGATATAATGAGCATAGACTCAGGGATTATTTTAGAAAATAAAATGAAAAACATTATCCAGCAGAAAATCAACTGTGCTTAGTGGGACCCTCAGCAGTGCTGGCTCATGTCCCTGTTGACAAGAAGATGTATATAATAGGATTGAGGACGAAATGACCACAGAATGTGCTACTCTGAACTGGGATTTGATAGGGACAGAAAAAAATGTGATTTCATAGAGAAATAAAAATGTTCTAATACTTCCCATGCCTCAGAAATAGTCCTGAAATTGTTGTATGCTTATTAATTTCCCTATATGATTGGTATGAAGGCTGATTGCCACTGCTTATCATAGTTATTGAACCTGAAAAAATTTATTGCCTATCCTGCTAAGTATTTATCATAAAGAGCATGTGATATATATATATGTGTATATATATATATATATATATATACACACACACACACATATAGCTTAAGACAGCTATTGTTATTTTAGGCTGCATAATCAGGCCTTGACAGTCATAGTACAGTGACATCCTTTAGCTGAAGTTATCAGGGCTATTTCATCTTTCTGTAAGGAAAATGCGTCGTATTGGAACTCCAGTTTGTTAGTATTGGGAGACTCTATTCTAATTAGAACTACCTTTTATTTTAGTACTGCAGGGGTACTGCGACAATGGAGATCTGTTATGTAGCCGGGGTTCAGTGGCTTGCACTGTACCAGACAATAACTGTAAAATTACTGACAGTCATGAAAAACTATAGAGCGCTTCCCACACAGAGACCAGCATCAATCAATTCATAGGGTTTTAGCGGCAGGGCTTCACACAGAGACACTGTTTAATAAATGAATAAAGCACTAGGTGTTATTATGTGCACTTAGAGTTATGCAGCTTTTTATGGGAAAGCGGGTTAGTCTCATCTGTTTTATTTTACCTAATCTGTGAGGATATATATCATGGGAACACCAAGTAGCATTGCAGCAATTGAAGAACATTCATTTCCCTTCTTTGCAGTGCTTGTCTTTTTAGTGAACCTGTTTTAAAGATGTGTTCTCTTCTCGTTAGACCTTTACCATCTGAAAAGTCAGTTCATTTTCACAGGAAGTGGTGTAGTACAGGATGGGAGATTACAGCCCACGGAACTAGACTGCTTTGACCGATAGCCTACCTAAAAATTTTAGCTGTGTATCACTGGGCAGACCATTTAATTTTTCTGTCCCTCGACTGTGCATTCAAGAATAAGGGAGGCAATAACAGCAACTTCTTTTTTTAATTGAATTTTATTGAGCTCTACATTTTTCTCCGCTCCCCTTTCTGCCCTTTTCCTCCCCTTCAACCCTCTCCCAAGGTTCCCATGCTCCAAATTTACTCAGGAGATCTTGTCTTTTTCTACTACTTATGTTGGTTAGATCTATGTATCTTCTTAGGGTCTTCTTACACGAGTAGTTTTAGATAAAAAGAAGGTAGATGAAGTTGGAAACAACATATAACATAAAATAAATCCCCAATAAATATTAGCAACCATGTACTAATTATTTTTACAAAACTTATTATTTTTCACAAAACTTATCAAAATGACAGTCCTATAGTCGGTTTTTATTATAAATGATTTATGTATCAATGTCGGACATTGTCACTGACATATATTTCATTCAACCCTTATCGACACAGGAGATTATGGTGCTCGTGAATTTTTACATGACTTCTGTTACTATTGATGTTTCTGATGGCCTCGTATACTGAATAGCAATGTTATCATAACTTTATGTTAGGAAACAAATAATGAAACACTGAATATTTTGCACTGTTAGTTGAGAAAGCTGAAAAACTGGGGTTTATTTGGCTTTAAAGTTTTATGTTTTTATAAACTGAATGTGATAATAACAGGGAATGTATGCATGATTTAAATGCTTACTGTATATAAAGCATTGTTGGCTAAAGCTTTACTGAACGTTGGTATACCCCAGAGCTCTGTAGAAAATGCTTATATTTGTGTAATGTCTATTATCATCAGTAAGCATGATAGCCATCATAAAGGTCACAATATGCCCTTGTGTGGTTTCCATTGCTGTGATAAACCACTGACCAAAACAACTTGGGAAGGAAAGAGGTTATTTGAGTGGTAGGTTTCAGCCCACCATCAAGGAAAGCCAGGGCAAGGATTCAAGGCAGGAACCAACCAAGAGGCAGCAGACCATGGAGGAATACTGACCTGTTCCCTGTTCTCAGTTTGCCCTCTCGTACTATACAGAACCACCTGCCTAGATCTGGCACTGCTCACAGTGGGCTGAGCCCTCCCATATCAGTCATCAGTCGTGAAAGTGTAACCCAGACATGCCTGGAGGCTGGTCTCGTGGAGGGGATTCGTCACCATGGTAGGCTCCTCCCAGGTGATTCCCGCTTATGTCAAGTTGACAAAAACCAACCAGCACATACCATGTTCTCTGCCACTCACATGACACTCATGGGAAGTTGTAGAGACTCAGAGAATAGTACGTCACCCTCTGAGGTAGGATTCCCAAAGTTTACAACAGGGAGTGCCGTTTCCATCCGACAGGTGTGGCAGCATGAGCACAGTGAAGAAGTTTTAGCATGAGCACAGTGAAGAAGGCACACATCGGATGCAGCTGGAATACTACAAGTGCTGAAACAATTTATCAAAGATTGGTCACCCAAGTTGGATCATTAGAATTGCGTTCACTACTTTTATGTCAATTTGACACAAGCTGCTTATTTTAAGAAGAGGAATTCTCAGTTAGGAAAAAGACTCCATAACATTGGCTCATAGGCAAGTTTGTTGGGAATTTTCTTGATTAAGGGTTGATGTAGGAGTGCCCAGCTCAGTCTGGGTGTCAACTCTGGGTAGTTAGTCCTTAGTTATATAAGAAAGCTGACAGAGCAAACTAGTAAGCAGCGTTTCTTGCCTTGAGTTCCTGCTGCGACTTCCCTCAGTGTTATGGAGTATGATCTGAAAGTTGTAAGAAACCCTTTTCTCCCCAAAGTGTTTTTGGTCATGGAATTTTATCACAGCAATTGATACCATAACCAAGACAAGAGAAATGATAAGCGGGAAGGGGCGGGGGGAGAGAGGCGCGCGCGCGCGTGTGTGTGTGTGTGTGTGTGTGTGTGTGTGTGTGTGTGTGTGTGTGAGAGAGAGAGAGAGAGAGAGAGAGAGAGAGAGAGAGAGAGAATCATAATGGACCATTGAAATTAGAGGGCGTTGAAAGTTCTTGCCAGGTGCTGACCTTGCAGATCATAGGGGTAGAATTCCCTTCTTTCTTTGAGAAATAGAAATTTCATCTCTGTTTCGTTCCCAGGATTTTTTTTTTTTTTTGGTTTTTCGAGACAGGGTTTCTCTGTGGTTTTTGGAGCCTGTCCTGGAACTAGCTCTTGTAGACCAGGCTGGTCTCGAACTCACAGAGATCCGCCTGCCTCTGCCTCCCAAGTGCTGGGATTAAAGGCGTGCGCCACCACCGCCCGGCTTCCCAGGATTTTTCAATTGCTTGTGTCAGGCCTGCCTAGATTATCTAGAATAATTGCCTTATTTCTAAAGTATCAATTGAGTGTAGGCATAAAGCACTCCTACAAAATGATTTCCTCACAGTATCGAGACTAGAATTGACTGAATATTGACATTATAACTTGGGGAGTTTGCACAGAGGACTTCTCATAAGTCTCATGACGGACAAAACTGGAAAGGGAAACTGAGAAGACTTTTTTGGATGACAGAAGAGTCGCTTAAGTCGTAAACTAAACATACGAGATTTTAATGATCTCTGTAGTTCCATGAGAGCTAATCTTGACCAGCAGAGGAAATCATTAGGCCTCCTAGGAAGCCATCTTAATGGCACAAGCATTAGTAATAAGTTTACAGAGTGGTAGGAAATAATAAGTCATAAAATATGGTGATAAACATCAGATAATAATAGGTGCAACATAGGAACAGATTATATACTGAGAAAAGGAATATAACTACTTTCATAAAGGCTGAAAAAATAGTATTGTTAGAATATTGCCATCACTTTACCTTTGGCATGCACTGGTTTTATATTAAGGAGATTAATTTGACATAAATGTTTTAGAATGGCAGTTGTGCCCTGTGAAATACATGATAATGGTCATTTGAGAAATCTTTAATTTTTAATTTTCTACATGAATATTCCTGTCCCT